CAATTGGTGGACATATGGATTGATTCCAGTTGGGCTGTTATAAATGAAGCTTCTATGAACATTCTCATACAAATCTTTGCATGGGCATGTATTTTTATTTATCTTGTGTAAATATCTAGGAGTGGAATGGCTGCATTCTATGGTACGTATATGTTTATTTATAAGAAACCACCAGATTGTCTTCCAAAGTGGCTGTATCGTTTTGCCATTTTGCCATTCCCACTGGCAATGAGTTCTAGTTGCCCCGCATCCTCACCAATACTTAGTATTGCCAGTCTTAACTGCTGTTAGCCATGCTGGTGGATGTGTCGTGGTTTCTCATTGTGGTGTTAATTAGCATTTCTCAAATCTATTTCACGTGTTTATTTGCCATTCATTTATCTGCTTCGGTGAAGTGTCTGTTCAAAATTTTTGCCCATTTGTGAAAGTGTGTTTTGTTTTCTTACTATTGAGTTGTAAGCTGTCTTTGTAAATTCTGTATAGACATCCTTATTACATACATGATTTTTCAAATATTTTCTCCTAATCCATTAGTTGTCTTTTCATTTCCTTAAGGTCTTTAAAGAGTGGAATTTTAATTTTGATGAAATTCAACCTTTTTGTGTCTTACCTCACAAAATTTTGCCTGTGCCAGTGTCACTAAGATGTTCTCCCATGGTTTCCTTTGAATTTTATTTTAGATTTAAGTCTTCCATTTAGGTTTGTGCTCGACTTCAAGTTAACTTTTTAATGTGGTGTGAAGTAAGGGTTGAGGTTCATTTATTTGTTTGTTTGCTTTTGTAGGAGGATGTTTAGTTGTTCTGGCACTATTGAAAAGACGTTTTTTCCCCATTCAATTACCTTGGTACCTTGGTCGAAAATCAGTTGACCATGCCTGTATGGCTTTCTGGACTCTTTTTTCTCCATTCATCTATATTTCTATTCTTATTCCGATACCATACTGTTGCATTTACTCTAGCTTTATACTAAGTCTTGAAATCAGTTCGTGTAATCCTCCAACTTGTTTTTTTTCTCAAAATGGTTTTGATTATCCTAGGTCCTCTGTATTTCCATATAAGGTTTACAATCAGCTTGTCAAATTCTACACACACAAAAGTCTGCTGGGATTTTGCTTGGCATTGTGCTGGTTCCATAGATCACTATGAGAAGTGACATCTTAGCAATGTAGAGTTTTCTGGCCCATGAGCACAGTATAGCTCTCCGTTTGTGTGCTCCTTTTCAATTTCTTTCTGCAATGTTTTTTCCTTTCCGTGTACAGATAGCGCATGTGCTGTGTAAAATGTATCTGTGAGCATTTCATATGTTTGATGCTGTTGCAATGATTTTTTTATTTCAAGTACCAATTGTTCATTGCTAGAATATAGAAATTCAATTGATTTTTTTTTCAAAATCTTGCATCTTGTGACTTTGCTGCTTAATTTGCTGATTAGTTTTAGTAGCTTTATGATACATTTCTTAGGATTTTTTTACATAGAAAATCGGGTCTTTCTGGATGAAGACAGTTTTACTTATTCCTTTCCAATCTCTAGACCTTTAATTTCTTTTTCTTGCCTTGTTATCCTGGCTGGAATCTGCAATACAACATTGAGTAGAAGTGATGACAGACATTCTTGTCTTCCCAATCCTACGGGGAAAGCGCTCAGTCTTTACTATTAAGTGTGATGTTAGCTGAGGTTTTTTGGTAGATCCTCTGTAGGGAGATAAGTATTTTTAACTGGATATATTGCTGCCCAAATCTTTTAGGGGTTTTTCTAGAAAAGAAGAAGGGAGAATGGACATAGGCATCCATCAAAAGGAAGGCCAGCAGGGGTTCCTTTACGAGTTCAGCCCTGTCTCAACTGTGTGATGATTTATTAGGAAGTAAGCGTTTATTTCCATTAGAGGTTTTAAATGTGGAATATGGTTCACATTACACATGACCATGTGTGACAATGCATCTTTATGAACTGTATTTGGGAGGGACAGGTGTTGCCAGGGAACCAACTCCCCATTAGTCCATTGGGAGGCAGTGTAGCCTGTGGTTAGAAACATGGGCTCAGAAGCCTGGGTGCCTAGTCCCAATCCAGCTCTGCAACCCTGGGCAAATTCCTCAACCTGTGTCAGTTTTCCACCTGCAAAATGAAGGTATCAAAAGATGTCAGTAATTCCTACCTCCGGGGCTTCTGAAGACTCAATGAGCAAATGCAATTAAGAGCTTAAAACAGCATCTGTTGTCTGGTGCATTTTAAGAAGGCTTTAGTTTACATAAGGCTAAGTTACATACAAGTTTTCAGTAGCAGGTTTACTGCTTGAAGTAAAGAACAGCCATCCATTAAAAAAAAAAAAAAAAAATCCACTCTCCAGAAACCTCCTATTAAGGTTTTGTAAGGAGAGAGGGTTAGATACTTGATTTTTGTTGTTTTGTAGGTTATTGGTGCAATAAATACATTTAAAAATCTTGTGCATTGCATAGGCAACTATCAGCTGGATTACAGCTGTGGGCAGTGACACCCTAGAGTTCACACTGAGTCTACACTTAAAGGCTGAATCAGAGTTTGACCTTCTGATCTGCTTATTTTGACCACTTGACAGTGGGCTGGAATGGGACCCCACACACTGTTCCTGGGCTGCCCCACCTGGACGTGTGGACCACTGTGCAGCCCCCAGTTGGCTTCAGCCTATTATTTCTTGCCAGTAAACTCTAATTCAAGGGGACAGAGGCGTCTCAGTCAGTCTGTCACTTTCCTGGGCATCTGCCTTTCTATCGACATGTTCCAAGTCCTGGGTGCCATCCTTCAGTCGGGGGTAAGTCATGCCAGCCTTCCTGTCTGGTGTGGGGTGTGAGGGGACACTTGCCAGCAGGAACGAGGTTACTCTGAACCTGCTCAAGTGGGTCCTGCTGCAGCACTGTGATGTTGACATATAAGGAAAAGCACTTAGGAGCAGGCTGGCAGGCCTTCAAGGGGCCTTTCCCCTTAACTTGAACTTGCTTTTTTTATTTTTTGCCTTGTACTTTTTGAGGGTACAGTCATAGCAAGTTTTGTAAAGGGCCTTCTGCAGTGTTTTCTCATCTGAAGTCCCTTCTTCACACAGGGTCTACACTGTCCAGCCAATTTTCTGTTTCTGGCTTTCTCTAGATCAGGCCAGTGAAAGACTTAAGTGTGTATGTTTAGTTTTTTAAAAAATGTAAGCATGCCCTCAGCTCTGTTTGGACACATCTGCACACTATTTCACCCTTCCTCTCTCCTTTCCATACAGCCAGGGGGGGTAGGGAAGGGACGGCCAACACGTGTTTAGGAGAGCCCGTCCACCAGGCCCCAGCACGGACTGCCCGGCATTTTCGTCTGCAGTGTGATGGGTAGCGTCTGGGGACAGGAGTATTTGGCCAGCTCTTGTCCTCACCTCTGCCAGAGATGTGCTCTAGCCCGTTCCTTGAGAGTTGCATTCTCTATCACGCCTTTTCAGCTGTCATTTTGACACCAGTACCAAGAGATACTGATTCGGGGAGCGAGACAGACATTATCCTCTCCCTTGGCTGTCATAAGACGCCCCCATTAGGTGGGGACTCCAAGGCTCACGTGACATGATCCTCCAAACTCTGCCTGCTGCCCCAGGTAATCATGCTAAATTATACATGGGTAGAGGCTTTCTGCAGTGCTGGTTTTCCACTGGAGCACAAAGCATTCTGTTATAGGAGGGCTTTGACAAAGCAAGTCCTCCAGGCCCTGCAGGAACCGTGGAGCTGTGGGGGGCAGGTTACCTTCCAACCACAGGGCTCGGCGTGTGAGTTTAAAACAAATGGGAAGCAGATGCATAGAGTCTGACTTTCTATTTGAGTGTCGTTTCTTTGAGCAAAGACAAAGGCTAAAAATTTAAATATCAAACTGTTAGGTTTTCGAAACAAAAAAAAGAAAAGGCAAGAAGAAACAAAGAAAAGTCAGAAGTGACAAATTTAACACTCTTCTCTGGTCAGATAAGAATCTGCTCTTAGCTCCACGTAAATGACTAACTGCCAGCTTCGTGATGCGGCATCTTTTTCTTTGTGTATTTTCTTCATTCTTATCTTCTTCTAGTTCTATTTCCTCACTCCTCGCCAACTAAAAAACAACAACAACAACAAACAAACAAACAAACAAAAAAAAAACAAAGCAAAGAACAAAGCAAAACAACTCCCTTGGTTGGAGTGATTGAAAGACCACCTTCCATAGGGGATACCGGCTAAAGGGACTGTCACGTGGAGGTGCTGTGTACGCAGTTTCCACGCTCCTGGGAGCCCCTCACACACATCACACCTGGCCACAGCCAAATGCCAGTTCTGGAGACCTAACAGGCATTCAAGAAACAACTTGAGAATGAATGGAAGTACCTGCCTACAACAAAAGGAAGGCGGGAGGGAAGGCAGGTTCGTTTTGCTGCAGATTAGACTTAGGCAGTTCGTTCTGTTATTCACAATTCCTCAGGCAGCGAGCGACCCAATTAGCACAGTGTCGCTTCATCAATGCTTGCACTCTCCCCTTCACATTGTTTCCTGGACACCTGTTCCATCTCCAGAGTCGGTGGCCAGCAGTGCCCACGTTTGCTCTGTGTGAGGAGTGCCTACAAACACAGAAACTGGGGGCGCCTGGGTGGCTCAGTCATTAAGCGTCTGCCTTCGGCTCAGGTCATAATCCCGGGGTCCTGGGATCGAGCCCCACATCGGGCTTTCTGTTCAGCGGGGAGCCCGCTTCTCCCTCTCCCACTCCCCCTGCTTGTGTTCCCTCTCTTGCTGTGTCTCTCTCTGCCAAAAAAAATAAATAAAATGTTTTAAAACAAACAAACAAACAAACAAACACAGGAACTGGACTTACAGTACACTGATGGCATTTCTTCATCAACAAATAACTCCCGTGCGTCACGGAGGGCCAGCCTTGCAAGTTACCCAGGTGGTACTAAAAATGTGTACATTTGCCATCTACCTTGTTTCTAAGCTCTGTTCTCTGAGAAGATCATCGGTGGTTATTTCTATTCTGTCCATTTGACAGGTGATGACCAAGAAAGAGGACTTTTTCAGTGCCTGGAACTCGTGTCTTCATCATGTTGCCTCCCTGTCTCTGGCACACATCCACAGAGGTGAGTTGGCTCTTGTTGAATATTTATAACTGGGCTGCTCTGGGGGGCTGCAAGGTACCTGGGAATAAGACCGCAAAGGATAGTCCCCACACCAGCCCTCGTGTTGAATGCAAGGCCCCCAAATAACTTAACCTCCAACTTACCAGGAACACTGACCAAATGACACCCACAAAACCCAACACTAAACTCTGGGAACAGTGCGTCCAACACAACCCGACAGTTGCCAACAGCACTGGCTAGAGAGAAGCCAGCTGGCAAATGGCGGGCCCCTCAGCTGTGGCCCTCTGCCCAACAGGGACTGCCATTCCCACGTAAACAAACCGGAGGGTGCACGCACAGCTAAAGGGAGGGTGCTTTAATAGGATCACTGCCTGCAGAATTTCAAGTACCGCAACTCAATACTTCCACCTAATCCTCGAATTAGCGAGAACCCGGTTCAGCCTTTTAAAGCGGTGCCTCTCAACCAGAGGCGATTGTGCCCTCCTGGGAACATTTAGCTACATCTGGAGACGTTTTCTGTTGCCACAACCGAGCAGGGGTTGCTAGTGGGTATAGGCCAGGAACACTGCTAAACACCCCCACAGGCCGTGGACAGCACCCCCAGCAAAGAGTCACCCTGCCTCGATGTCAGGAGTGCCGGCACTGAGAAACTGTTGAGTGTCCATTTTGATCCCAACAAACCCCAATCACAGAAAATAAAATGAAACTTTGAAAACAGAGTAAGATCCATCAAGATACGGCAATTTATTCTTGAGAATCTTGTGTAGCCTCAAGAATCATTCGTTCATTCATCATATACTCTTACCCCGGGGGGCGGGGGCGGGGGGAGTCTTAAAAAGGCTCTCACTGTGTTTGTTTGTCGTGTGGGGTTTTCCGTCCCACCAAGTTCACGGCTGGCCCTGGGAAGGCAGGGTCAGGTTTGGTCACCACCACAGCTCCGGGGCCCGGCTCCCAGGCCTGGTGTGTCCTCAGGCACCATCTCGTGAGGTGGAATTCCTGGATGGGTTCTGTTAAGTGTCAAGCCAGGAACCCAGGAGTGCCTGCATCCCACCCGACCTCACAGCATGGCCACCACCCTCCCTCCCCAACCAGGCAGTACCAGAAGAGCAGAGCGCCACGTTATTAGTCACTGTGGGGCTGCCCAGGCCCCTCCCTGCGAGCTGACAAGAGCCAGATTGGGGTGAATAGACTGGCCTGGCCGCTTCTCTCCCTCAAGGCGCAATCCAGCGCTTGGGACCTTGGTGAGCTTCATGACACAGGGCTCAAGAGTATGGAGAGGAATGAGAATGCACAGGTGAGTATGCCCAGAGCATGGGTTCCTCATGGGGCCTGAGGACACCACCCCCAGGGAGCAGCCTTTTTACACAGTGACCACATTCCGTCATAACCATGGCCTCGTTAGCACCCTAGATCTGGATTGATTTCCCCCTTGTCCCCGGGGAGGGAATGCAGGAGCACAGCGTGGGGCTGAGAGGGGCTGAGGGAGGGCAAAAGATTCTCTCCCCACAGGTCATTAAGGCACAGCATTGAGTTCCCTCATCTGTGGATCCAGAAATTTTAATTTGTCTGCACACCCACAGTATATGAGGCTCAGGGGAACTGACTCACCTTAATCAGACTCAAAGGTGACAGCTATATAAACCAAAATGCCAGCTTATTCATCACGAAGGAAAACCCAACTGCTGAATCATTCGTACACGCTCCATCCTGTGGGGAACTCTCCACGTGGAATTCAGGGATAGTCAGAACGTTGCAAAAGGTTGGACTGTTTGGACAGCTCTTGGAGGAGCCTCCATGGTGGCCTGCCTGCCACAGAGGCTGGGTCCTGGAGCCCAAAGGCTGTCTGCTTCCTGGACTCTCTTGGTGTGCTCAGCACCAACCTCACCCCCTGAGAAGTTTTTGCAAACCACCCCTACCCCTCTTCTGTTGGTAGGGTATTTTTTTCAGGTTTGTTGATCAGGCTAAAACTTACCTGGGATATAAAGCAGCACACGAGGCACCTTTACTCAAGGCAGTTATGTCCCAGGCCGCCTTCTTCACTGTGTGTAGACATGTATGGCTCTACTCTTAGGGCTGTCTGTGGCCCCAGCACCTGCACTCCTCCCCTTGCTCCTCTGTGTACTGACCCCAGATACTACCCTTCCTAGGATACGAGCAGGAACCATGTGGACTCCAGGTGAAACATTTCTAAACATTAGGAGATGGGAGTAAATTTGAAGGGGGGCATCCAAGAATCCCTAAACTCACACGCCTTTGCCTTGGAAACACTGACCATTACGCCTTGAACCACTCGTCCCATCTGTCGAGAGCATAATTAAGTTTAGTGTGAGGGGTGAGAACTCCGGCTCCAGAGGCTTGTTAACTGAATGCAGAGGCTTTGTTTACCTCTATCTGCTATGTGACTGTGAGTGAATTAAGCTCTCTGAGCTTTCGTCTCATCTTTGTTTATAAAATGGAAATAATGTGATATTTACCTCATGGGGCTATCGAGAATATACTTGAAAGCCCTTACCTTAGCATCTGATCCATAGTTAGGGATAAAAAAAAATTTTTCAATAAAAATTTTTTATTACTGTTAATTACTACTCTACAAAGTCCTTAGTTCCCACTACCCAGTGGAACATTTAGATCCTTGTTTCTTAAAGCATAAGAACAAGAGAACGATTAAGCAAGTTAGGTTCCAGTGTAGGAAGTCTTAACATGGGCAGGAAACATCAAAGATTTAATATTGCCACAGCACAGAAGAAATCGGAACGGATTCCCTACCTTTTACCCGTTAATAACCACAGCAGCAAAAGTGATTATTTTCAGGAAATTGGCCCCCTTCAGGGTCAGAGGAAGACAATTTGGCTGTAGAAAGTCACAGAAGAAAAAATAAGGAGAATTAGTTCAATGACAGCACCTAGAAATCCCAGGAATGTTTTGAGATAGAGAAAGCCGTCCATAATGAGGAGGTTTGAACAGATACAAAATGGGTTCTCATGGTAGGAGTGCGCCAAGCACGCACTGCGCAGGGACAATCCCGTCAGCGTATCATTACATTTAAATAGCATGCTGTGCCGCTACCAGAGGTCCCCAGGGGATGGGAGAAGAAGTAGAAGGAGCCCATCTGTCTTCGGTGACCAGGCCCAGATGTTGCCTTTGGAGACTTTCAAAGAGCACAAAGGAGGGAAGGGAAGGATCAGTCTGCAAAAGCGCAGACCTTAATGTCACCCCAGATGAAAATGAACTCAGAATCTAGCCATTTTTATTAGGAAAAAATGGACAAAAAGCCTTTTGGCGTCAGTATCCGTTGTCACCTGAAGACTCGGGAAAACCATGTTTGAAATAAAAATGTTAAGCAGTCTCTAGTGGTTTCTGAAGTGGGATGTAACCATTACAATGATAAATTGTTATTTTTCTGTGATCCACATTTTTATCTTGCCCTAGAAAGAGCAGCTCAGAAGCACAGTGCTGTCTGAACCCCTAAGGGTGTGCCAATTCCTAAATAAAAAAGAGAAACTAAGCACTTTTATTAAATAAATTACATCCACCATTCTCCAGCTCCATGCAGAACTGTCTCTTGGTTTTTCCCTCCTCTGAGCTTGTAAGGTGCTCTCATTATGCAGCAGAAGTCCCTTCTCTGGTTCTTAATAAAGTGACTAATAATCTAGAATGTTCGCTTTAAGAGCACATTGTAATTATGATTAGAATATATAAGTAGTGTGGTTTTCTGCCTATCAGAGGATTAATTTCAGACTCCTCTCAGGGACGATTTGTTTCCAAACAAGACTTCCTTTGTTAATAAAAATGTGATCATATGTGTTATTACAGCATTCTTTCCGTATTTTATCCATGAGTACTTGCTCCAGTATCCTTCATGGGATCAGCGTTTTTCGCCCCCATTGTTAATGGGGCTATTCTTTAAACAAACTACATTCACCTCGATTTTGTTTTAGCTTTAGCATTCATCTTCCAGGGAACTTTGGGAATATACTTACCACTTCGATGAATGTGCATTTTGCTATTCAAGCTCAGAAAAATAAAATGCCATAACTTCATCCAGGAGTCTCGTGTGAATTTAGGTTCTCATCACCACCCCCTTACACTCCACTACAGAAGTGCCCCAAGACTCTAAATCCTCTGCACTTGAAGAGGAAACCTGCCCTCTGGGGTGGAACTGAAGTCGAAAGTCAACACACCTTATTTGAATACAGATTTCTTCAGTGTGTTTTGCTGTTGTTGCTGGAGATGGAGGTCTGGCAAGTGGGGAAGGAGGATAGGTACCACAGGTATTGTGTTGGCTGGGACAACCTGTGTGCCTTCTTTTCCCATGGGAACCCTCTGCTGGGTGAGACGATACTTAGAAGCAGTCCCAGCGTTCCCTGACAGGTGGTCTGGGGTGGGAGGGAGGAGCTTTGGGTACTGCTGCCCCTGATGCTGACCTTCTTCTTTGTCTAGCACCCGTTAACTATGTGGGTGGTAGAAGCAGGGCAGGGGGTCTAGAGAGCCAAGAATGGACAGGCACGATTTGCAGCAGCATCTTGGAGTTCCCAAGGGGGAAGAGAAAGACCATTTCCAGCTTTGTTACCTCTGTCCTGGTCACATGGCTGAACCTCAGACCCATTTGTTCCTGAGAGCAAAATGTGCAGCAGGGAGTTGAGGGTCCCCATTTCAGAGTGCAAGACACCTGGGAGAGCCCATGTGACTGTTCCAGTCCTCTGCAGGAGTTGCTGGGTCCCTAAAGCCTGAAGTCTGGGATAGCAGCGAGGGGCCGTCTGGAATGCCAAGAGGTGGACTCGCCTTCCCTGTGCCTACACAAGATTGTTCCAAGGGACAGAGATGAGAGTGGAGGCTCCTGCTGAGGGAGACACCCGAAGAAATGGAGACCATTTTAAGTAGGAGCGTAGGGGTACCTTGGGCTAATGCAGATGGTGGTTCTTAAAAGAAGAAAAGAAGAAGAAATGTGACTGAACTTGAAGCACTGTTGCATGCCAACCCTTGGCAGAGCATGCAGCATC